GTGTCGGTGTGGGACAATGATGTTAAATATGTTTTGTATGCCAGCTGGTGATTCCATTTGCAAGAGAATAGCCAAAAGGTGCATTTGGTTTACCAAGTAGCTAGCAGTAGCGTGAGAAATCAAAGTGGACTTCACCATTGCTGAACATCGCTGCCTGCAATTTCAGTTTCACCGATTTCAATTTAAACTTCACCAATTTCAAATTCGCCTTCACCTGCGCCACATTGTTCATGGTCAGCATGGACAACGTGCTGCCAAAAGATCACAGGCACTACATGGCGATATACTGCTTGTTTAGATAATTGCCTGAACACAATGTAGTTTAGAGTATGCATGTTCCAAAACTTAAAGACTATTCAAGCGTTGAGATGCAACGATGCTCAGCAGGTCACGATAGTCCTAGTTTGCACGGGGCAAAAAAAGAAAAAATAATGCCTACTTACACTTGACTAAAGGCCTTAGATGCTCAAAAATGAATCTGGAGTCTCCCACTCTACCATGCCTGAGAATCATATGATGGTTATGGTGCTCTTAGATGCTCAAAAATGAATCTGGAGTCTCCCACTCTACCATGCCTGAGAATCATATGATGGTTATGGTGCTTCAACCTGAATGATGGTGTCTTTTATTGGCTTGTGTGAATATTCAAATGAATAATACAGTATTATTTGAATTACTTCAAATGGAATTTAAATTATTTAAAAGTTCAAAGTATTGAAAATGAAGAAATGTATACTAGCTCGCATGTTGTCTTCTGTAAAGGTGGTTTCGCTGTTTTATAGAAGTGCTAAGCCGTGAAAACACCTATTTAAACTTATATTAAAGGAGCAGTGACACCAAATTTCAAACTCGAGATGTGGCGTTCATTCGATTGTTTGCCTGCATGACTTTTTTCGCAAAGTATGATTGGCGTCCGTTATATAGAGGTTATTCTATTTTGAGTGAAAAGAGTGTCCAAAGACTCGATAGCGTGTTCCTGGTCAACAGTGGGGGTGGCGAAGACATGTCTATACATGTGCACGGTGAGTAGACAAAATATTAAGTGAAACTCGCGCCAGCATTTCATGTGTCCACGTGATCAAATGGGGCGAGACTGCACGAGGTGACTGCTTGGCAGCGCTGAAAATTGGCTGGCTTTGCACCAGTTTTGAATTCGCTTCGATACTGGTCATAATAATCGATATCACATATATTAATGCATCTCTTTGTTGCATTTCAGTACCTAATTGTTACTAAAGTACTGTTCAATAACTACACGTCTACGCAAAAAACGCGAGATGCATCAAGTTATTGCCACTGCTCCTTTAATTTGCGTATAGTTTTTGGTAAAGGTGGTTTCACTGCAGTAAAGTAGTGCTAAGGCGTGAAAACACATGCCCAGGATAAATCTGCACTGTCGCGAAGCCCCACTTCCAGTTTAAATGAAGATATGACCCTCATATCGCTTCATTTTGTAAGTTTAAAAGCTTGTTATTTCGACTTATATGCTCTAAGGGTAACAAACTTTAAGATGTAACATATTTTTCAGGCTGTCACTTGCATTCTACTGAAAGTCAATTCCTGCTTCTATTCAATGTTGTTTCCACTTTCTTTGAAGCAAAAAAATGAGACTTGTACAGGCTTTGTTTCAATTGAAAAAAATATATTGGGCAGGTTAGTTAGGTCGCGACAAATACACCCATTTTTTTTATAATATGAGATATATATACTATTTGAATTTGACCCAAAACCACTATTTGCTTCAAATTAGCTTCAAACCTAAAATTCATGATTCGCACCTGCCTAGTCACTTAGGCTAACATCACTGTAAGCTGCATGTTCTGGGTGGCTACTCTTTTTGCCTGGGTACTCATTTCAAGACCTACAATGCATTCGGGCACTCATTTACGCTTGTTAAGTGATGAAAGTATCTATTTGAAAGTAAAGGGACCATCGCAGATGTTCAGAAAGTTCGCAGCCACACTGCGACTTTTTCTGAATCTTTCTTTTGTCGATTATCCGCTGACGGGGCTGGCCTGCCCCGCTATATTGTCAAAACCACCTGCTTATCCTTATTTTCCAAAAAAATAAAACTTGGTATGTCTCAGTAAATGCATTGTAGCTAATAACCTGTATATGCATTGTAGCCACTATCTTGTAATTGTATGTAGCCACTACTTTGTATGTAGCTACTATTTTATTAATCCCACCTTTTATGCAATACCTCCCTGTGAGGTCTTAAAGGAAAATTAAGTGAAGTGAGGTGGACTGTGGTATGACCAAAGTTTTTTCTAATATGAAACGGACCCTGCTCATACTTCGTATTAGATGTTGCTTCAGAAATCTGAAAGATCTTGTCAAATATATAGTACTTGATGAGTTTTGCAAATTTTACCATTTGCATGCCCTTAAAAATTTGTGGAGTAGTGTTATATGGACTAGGTCTTCTTAGGTGAGACCTGTTTTATTAATGCTCAGGCGCTCAATGCTGAGCTCAGCTCTGGGCGTATGTAACGAGGCCTTGTCTGAGCTCTTTCAGGAGAAAATGCACATTTAGGAACACCAGATGGACAAAATTAATTTGGTCCACTGTACAATACACTTCTTTATCATACCGTGATTTTCGCTCGTAGTGAAAGGAAATATAAATGAAATGTTGCTTATGAGGTGTATTAAATCATTAAAATAAAAGTATAGTTACAGTTAAATTTAGCGAACAAATGTTTTTAAAAAATCAAATGCATAATTAACATGTAAAGTGAATGCAAGCAAACATGGAGAATTCTCTTTATGTTGTCTACATTTCACATTATAAACCTTAATATTTCTTCAAATTTTTACAAGAGGCTATTAATTGATAATTTGTTGTAGTGAGATAAAAAATCTTAGTTTAGATATGGTAAATCACAAGCAAGGCCAGTTTAATGTAAATCGTTCTTATACTTGGTCCAAAAACATTGTCATAATGTAAAATAAAGAATATTTAATCTTGTTGTCATACACCATGCTTCAGTGTGTCTCATGTAAATGTTTTCTCCCGTTTTTTTATATGAAAATTATGTAAGATGCAGTGAAATGAAAATGCTGCACGTGAAAATGGTGCAATAGGCATGGGACCATGCCCAGGCTAAGGCGAAAATTTACATATTTTTGCATGAAATTGGAGGTTTTTCAGGCTCTAGGCTGAGCAAATAGGGTGCCTATTAATTATATGTATTCATTTCCATCTTCCTGCAAATAAATTTAATACTTTTTTTGCCTAACAGCAATGTAAGAGCCACAATTTTTGGGATTTCTGACTTCATTCACATGTATGTGACTGCGGCTCAAGACCCCCGTGTCTTAATCTGAAATGTGCTCTTAAGTCATCTTTTATGACCACCACCAACACTACCATGTGTATGTGACAATAATTTTTTCACCGTGAAAGTGGCTGGCAACTAATCACTGCATGCAGACTGTGGTTGAAGCTCTTTATCTTCTCCAGCTTCCAACACGTTTGAGTTCTGTGGCGTAGTGCACGCGTTACCTGAAGTCAAAACTAGGCTGCTGAGTGCCACGTCCTCTTGATGAAGCCATGGTTGTCACAGATACGATTACAGTGTCCACACATTTCTGAAAGTACATGCTCGATGTACATTTAGATGCGAGACACAACAGCTAAGCACTTCATTAGCTACTCTATTAATATGCCTCGTTAGCGCAAAGTCGTAGATGGCAGCTACATAGTTGTGAAGCCATATGACAAAAACAAAACTATGGCTTGTTGCAGCTTTTACCCCAGTCACTACTGATATGATCATAGATAGAGCCGACACAGTTTGTCTGTGGCGAGTAAATGGAACAAGCTTTCTACTGCCACTACAGCCTTGGTTGCCAACAACGCGATGTTGGTAAAATTGTGGATGGTGGCCATGCCTTTCTGATGGTCCACGACCATTTCTGTTGTTTGCGAACGCTGCTTTTCCTTCTTTGCATCACGCATTTACTGTGCTTCAAGCTTGGTGGGCTCATCTAAATCATCTGATCAGATGAGCCCACCAGGATCACCAAGATCATCTGAATCAACTGAGTTGTGGCCAAACAATATGGCCAAAACATATGGCCAAACAATACATATGCTTCCCGGGACAAAAGAATGCATCAAAATTATCTGATTTTTCAAATTACTGGGGCTGAATAACCACATTATATATATATATATATATATATATATATATATATATATATATATATATATATATATATATATATATATATATACTGAAGAAGTTTTGCTAATGGGCCATACGCATTTGGGAAGAGAAGAGACACAACTTAGCGGCTGCCTTAATTTTATTGCGACGGTTTCGACCGGTGGAAATAAAATTAAGGCAACCGCTAAGTTGTGTCTCTTCTCTTCTATATATATATATATATATATATATACATACACATGCATGCACACACAGCAAGATTCACGAATGTACAGCATAAGGTAAAATAACGTGACACCTCTTACATTAGTGTCATAATTATTTGATAGTATCGTGAGCAGTGAAATGGTTTGAACAGTGGCTTTTTCTATAGTTGACTTTTTTCTTTATGCTACAAAATACAAATTTTTGTGGAAAAAAAAAAATTAGAGCTTCATGTATTTCTAGTGTCTTCAATGTAGTCTCGTGGCCGTGGCCTGGGCCTGCCAGAATATTGCTTCGAATGGCGAGACCTAGGCTATCAAATCAAGTCAAGCCAATGCAGTGCTCTGTTGAAAAGGGTTACCATCAGTAGCACCACATGGTCTTTTGAGGACTTTTCGCACCACACTTTATACCAAGTCTAGACCTGCACTTAACACTTGCAATAATCTAGCCTTGATTCCTTGCAATGGTAGCTATACCCTAAAGAACTATGCGTAAAGTGGTAGTTGAGAATTTTATTTGTTGTGTATATTGTTTTTGTATTGTTATTACAATTCAGATGCTGAGCATCCCAGGTTCATATGTAAAATGACTGACGATTGCCAATGTCATCTAATACAGGTGCTCACTGGCTGCTTCCCAATAGCTCAGCTTAGAGAGCCTTACTCAGCCATTCAATACCTAGCAGAACGATTGGATTTGCCAGGCATCCTGAAGCTTCCACCACTTGATGGGGCTGGGGACACTCAGAAGCCTTGGTCAGCTTTTGATCTTTGCGAAGGTGAGTCTTAATTTCTCTAGATTTTCCCATTTTTCTTAGGTGAAAAGTATCTGTTAAGCAGCTGGTAAGCTCAATACTGCATATTGATGCTGTGCCCTCTAAGCGAATGATTTAGTATACACCGATTTGACCAGTGACTACTGGCTGTTTTATAGTAGTTGAGTCCAGTGATTGCAGTACTTCTTTGAACAGACTGTTGGACGTAACATTGAAGAACCGTGACACTTCCAACCAGAGTTTTACGGGTTACATAAATCAAGAAACAGATTAGAATACAGTTTACATCTCTCAAAAATGTGATTATATTTACACATTAGAATATAGTTTATATCCCTCAAGAATGTTACACATTATTGCATCAAGAAAGTAACTGTGTGATTGCTGAAAAATAATTGATTACTACTAGATTACATTATTTGCAACTTACTATGTTTGCATGGTATAAATTACAGGTGTTTCAAGAAATGTGTCTGAAAATTCTCAAAAACTTAGGAAGTGTCGTATTTGCTCACTCCATCATTCCCTTTCTTTTGTGGGGGCAGGTATGGTATGATGATAAGAAGTGTAAATTTATTTCACCTTTCAAAATTGAGATAATTAGCTTTTAATTCAGGTCAAATGGGAGAAATTGAAATCTTTGCTGTTAAGAGCCAATTACAGTTATGAGATTTCCAAAACGCGGCCTGTGGTAACTTTTGCAGAGTTCTTAATTCAGCAGCAAGACAAACTATAGTATCGAAGATTGAAACTGCCATAGCCCATCAGATGTTCAAAATGACAACATTGTTTTCAATAATGATTAGGAAAGGGAAATTGGCAACCAACCATCTGTAGCACAAAGCCACATGGAAATCCAAATCAATTTTTCTGAAATAAAGACTATTACTAGTTGCAGAAAAATTTGTCCTGGTTCAGAGATGAAACCAGGGACCAATACCTTTCTGGGGTGGTCGTTCTTCCAATTGCACCAACCAGGAAACTTGCAATGGGCAGCACGGGGGCTAATTAATTGACAACTTGAAGCACATGGACACGTCTTGTTAATCAGTTTAGGGGATTCCCGCAAGGTGGCAGAATGGTTAAGAATGGGAAGTTGACAATCACCTGTTTGTAGCATGAACTCACTCAGAAATTCATATGGATTTTTCAGAAGCAAAATCTCTGTGTTGCTGAAACATTCGTCCTGGCCTGGGGGACTTAGAGGCTTTATTTCTGAAAAATCCTTATGGACCACAAATTTTAGCTCATTATACAGTCTGACAAATTTCATTGCATGTTTTCAAAATAAATTTATAAAAAGTTCTGAAGCAATTCTGTAATCTGGCACTATTCCATTTAACAAATTGGTAGATAAAATAGTGCCAGATTAGAAAAAATAATGTTTTCAGAAATATAATTATGATAATAGCACTTCTGTAACCTCAAATATGTCTGAAGGTTTGAGCAACACTTTTCAGTATAATTCCTAAAGCAGGCAAAATAAGCTACAGCACATTCACCGAAAAGTGACTCTAGTATTAAAAACAATCATTTGTTTGTCAGCTTCTTCTGTGACAAGTGTGCTGCTGCTTTTTCTGTGCTATTTCTAATGTTAAATCATTGTCTGTAACAAAATGCATAAGCATGCCACACAAGGCATCTGCTCTGGGCAGAGTTCTTAAAATATGTATGCTAACACACTCTGGGGTATCTCAACTCGATATGTGCAGTACTTACATGAATTTTGATGTTGCTGGACTGGCCGGTTAGAGCTCAGAATTGGAGGATTTTACGTTCTTGGACCATGCAGCTGATATTTTCAAGCATTTAATTGACGAGGGAGTCATTGCTAGGGTGAATTGCACAAACATTCATGAAAATGATAAGAGTGGCACCCGTGTGCAGCCCTTAAAAGTTATGTTATCCCAAGAAGTTCTTTCTATGATTGAGTCCCTTAGAGATTGCTATCCTAAAGCACTTTTTGCCAAACCAGGTGCAAAATGTGGTTGTGCTGTGAATTAACAAAAATGTTGGTGCCAAGGAGGCTAAATTAGCTGTATTTACCACTGTAAAAAGTGTGAAGTATGGCACGCTTTACTGTCTTAAGGTGATAAATACTTTGTGCTGTGTTCTTTTTCCTGTCATTACTTTGACAACTTGTTTATCAGAATTATCAGCTGTAATAATACAATTATTGTGGCATTTTGTTATTGTTTAGGTGGATGCAACTTTGTTGTTTACAATCGTCACCTTTCTGCTTAAAACTGGCCATTGAATTTTTGCAGACACCTCTTTTTCATAAATATGCCTTTTGTAAAACCTGAACCCAATTATTTTCGATAAAGGCAAAATTTTTTGAGGTCTGTGTACTTAGATTAAAGTGCACGTTAAAGAACCCAAGGTGTTTCAAATTTTCGGAGCCCCCACTACAACGTCTCTCATAATCATATTGTGGGTTTGGAATGGCATTTTTAAGAGTAAACACATTAATGTTTCAAAGGCAGAGAATTCATGCTCATGATGCAAGCAAACGGAGTATGTAACCACTGGTGCTGATTTTCACTCAAATGATGGGTATGCTTGAAGAGATCTTGCTTCGAGTGTTTGGGCACACAAGACAAAATGTGGTTGAAAAATTCACAAGTCTTTTTAATTGATGACAAATAATTATCATTGTACTTATTGAATAGATGATTATTAAAAAATAATCACAATACACTGACCAGTAAGTGATTGCCAGTTTTGGTAGAGGCTTGCAAATGGCCCGCTATCTGAAAAAAAACTGACCGGGTTGGCCAGGTGGCTGTGCTAGACTACACTTTTCAACTACTATAAGCTTATATATTTGTGAATACTACGAGTGATATGCAATTTACAAGATATGATATTACTGTTATAGCTTCCTGCTGTTTTTACACAGATGCCACTGTACTTTGTTACCTTTGTTCTCTAGGTGCTGCCATTGCAAACAGCAAAAAGTTGCCAGTTATTTATTATACTATTCTACTTTGTCCTTGTCTTGTTTGTTTAAATGAACTTAAAAATATGTGTTGTATGGAAATTCTCAGTGCACAAGTAGAGGAAAATCACCTACTCTTTCTACTAATTTTTCCTCCCGCCCCCTTTCTGTCCTATATTTATCAAGCGTTCAAAAGATGGCTTTAGAGAGCTTTGTGGTCTTCTCAGTTAGCTTTTCATTTGCAAAATTCCTCACCATTTTACACCTTTTACTTTCTTAGCATTCTTCCGTGTACCCAGCGGCATTTTATAACTCTAGGTATGCTGTATCTAAAGCTATCTTTTCTTATTTAAACTATGAAAACCATTTGTCACATGAAAGGGTGGTTTGTTGTGATGAGTAGTTTATCTATATATTATAGCCAGCTTCTCCTAATTATTCATATTGTAACCATTGTGCCCTGTGGATAAGTGTCTTAAAGGCCAACGGCAACGAAATTCGACTTGGGCAGAATTGGCTTGGAATGCGTAGTATATGTTGGGTAAGCATTGATATTGACAGTGAAAAACCTTGCCATCACGTATTTCACTTGTAATCGGTGCTCTAATTGTCAGCTAGCAGACGACGCAGAGCTCTAGTGGTGTGCGCGGGCAAATCGGACACAAACGGAAATGACGTCATTTGCAGCTCACCACCGCTTTTGAGCAGAACTCACTGCAGCCGCATCCATTCCAGCGAGTTCCCAAGACAGCCGGACAAGACGGTAGACGCCAAGCGGGCAGGTGTTATTTAAAGATGCACTTTAACGAGCTTTTACGATCAGGTATTCTGCATGGTGCATTTTTATTTGTTTGTTTTTCCGCTACCATTCAAAGAGAAAACTCCAGGGCGCAGCTGCGGAGCGCATACTTCAGAACACAGAGCAGACAATTCGCCTGCATTGGTCGGTCTCTTGAGCTGCTGTCTACGTCACTTCCGGTTGGCTGTAATGGCGTCATTTTTTCTAGTTGCGGTGTCAAAAACTGCGTGTTGGTGAGTTTTTTCTTTGGTAACCACTTGTGTTTCGAAGGTGTAATTTGACAGGCAGCATTGTCTTCAGCTAGGCTGCCTATAAATCTGATTTTTGAGGTGTGCACAATTTCGTTGCAGTTGACCTTTAAACTTCCTGCTTGACCTTCATTGTTTACAGCCTGGGCTGTGGAAAGAGGTTATCTGACAGCAAAAGCAGGACGCCCTGACGCCTACCGTGCAGCTAACAGCCTTCTGCGCATGGCCCTTGATGGACGAACACTGTGTCTTGCGTTTCGACCGCAAGGTTATTCACAAAACAAAGGTACAAACTTCTTAAGCCTTCAAATAACAAGCTACATATTACCAAATATGATTCAGTCTGCCAGTAAATTACATTCTCACTATTGATAAATGTGAAGATTTCTTGAATAGTTGGCAAATATATAATGCTGTGGCACCTGTTGTATGAGGGGGGCAGAATGCAAGAACATTTGTGTATTTGGGTTTCAGTGCCAGTGCACCTTAAAAAAACAAGGATGCTCAAAATTAATTGAGTCCTGCGGTGAAGTGACCCTCTTTGGCCACTACACAGTGTCTAGACATTAAACTGAACAATTGGTTTCTTCATCACAAATTACGTTCACCAATGCAAAAGCTGCAGCACAAAATAAGCTCCATTCTAGCGATCATAGTATGTCAACATAAAATCTAATAAATGGCATAATGAAGCACACCACATCACTAAGGGATGTGGGCTTTACTGCAGGAGTGAAATAGCTGCGCCATATCTGCCATCCTGTGCCGAACCACCCCTGTTGTGCCAAGCTCATTTATCAGTGCCACATTGCGCCATAGCATCTGAATTAAGCTGCACCGTGCAAGCCCCATGCCCCAAAACATGGCTGAAACATGCCGTTTTCAGTTTCATCAAAATAGTTATAGTTTCGGTTTCATTAGTGCAGTGATCAGTGCTGATGAAACTGAAACTGCTCGAGCATCAGCGCTTGAGCAGAAACTGTGAACTTTGATCGTAAGGGTTTGGTCGCGATCACTGATGTGCACTCTATCTTGGTGGGCATTAGTGCATGTAGATCATAAACCTTTCCTCATCCTGTGCAGCAGTATTCTTTTGCACCAGTGTGTTTTGTAGAGTTATGCAACATCAGATTCAAGAGAGTTAACTGTCACCATTACTTCGTATAACATTACGATTTATCGCTATCGCATTCATTGCTTTATCCTTGCGGTGAAACTGTTTTTATTATCTTTTTTGTATATGATTTCATGGCAGCGTTTAGAAAAGAAACAAAAAAAAAAAACGAAGGATGATGGTAGCAGTGCTCAAAAGAAGTGGGGGGGGGGGGGGGGTCCGGTTCCTGGGATAGCCTGGTAGCGTTCAGAAAAGAAAAAAAAAAAAAACGAAGAGTGATGGTAACAGTGCTCAAAAGAAGTGGGGGTGGTGTCTGGTTCCTGGAATAGCCTAGCAAAGACACATTACAGCTCATCGAGGCTCCAAGCACACACGCGTATTCTTGCGACCTTCACCACTGCGCTCTATTATACCGCGCTTATCAACTCGGAGGTTGATGCTTGCGCGTTGAGGTTAGAAAAAATAGATGCTGTCCATAGCTAAAGAAGTGATAGTTTCACCTTAAGTGGTAAGAAATGAATGCGGAAGCAACAAATTGTATTGTTGTACAGAGTGAGGCTTGCAGCTAACTCTTTTTGGATTTGATTTGGCATAACTCTTCAAAACGCTGGTGTAAGAGGATCTGGACACGCCAGGGTGAGCAACACTTTCTGTAAAGTCTTTCCACAATGAAAGCACAGCAGATCAAAGTACTATATGTGAATCACCTGCTGATGGCTGTTGGGGTTGCACACACCGCAGCGCCTTTAGAAGCTCAGTTTACAGCTGCTGCCCGAGTGACACCGCCCTCCCCCCACCTATTTGCTCACGTCTTTGGCTCGATATATTTCTGCTTCAGCGCTGTTCTTCGCCTCTGCTCGCACGCATTCACCTGCAGCTAGAACATGTGATGAGCGAAAGCATGTTATGTATTTGGATTTACTATGAGACACAATGACCACGACGACGTCAATGACCCATCGAGAGTGTTCATATTGCTATCGCAATGATAAGCTTAGTGTTTAAAAAATAAAAAATGCAGCATTCTACAAATGTTCCTCCATGTGTGCTGTGTAATGGGCCGACATGTGCTATTAACATTCTCTCTGACTGCTCCAAACTTGTTCAAAAAGGTCCAAAATGTCTCTCTGGCTACTCCAAGGCTGCTACAAAAGGCACTTTTGCCTGTTCCGAGGACTGCTGCCATACCCATGTATCCTGTTCTACCCCTATTTACTGTATAAAATATTGTTTTCATTCACCAATGAGTGCCAAGTACATAAATGAGCTATTTATTCGGTTCTTATGCTTTATTATTACAATAGGAATTATATGGACACTTCGACGGGTTTTCGCCATTACCATTGCCCTCATGTTTTGCATAAAGTCCAAATTGATAAGTCAGCCCCACATATTGTATGTTCTACCCGGTGTTAAAAATGTGCAAGCACTGGCGACAAACACTGCTGAAGCAGAGATAAATTGAGCCAGCCTCTATGTTTCACAGAGATCGCATTCGATAAATAGCCTCATGTGTGAGGCCTACTGTCAAATTTTTAATATTTTTGTTAGGAACAAGAAGGAAATGTAGGGCAAGGGGGGTGGGGATGCCTTTCCTTGAGCAGCAACTGCTAACATAATCAACCTGTATTTTTGTATTGTGTGCTTTATGTATCCCTCCCACCCCCCACTGTAATTAGACTTGTGCGAATAGTGAAATTTAGGTTTTAAGCGAATAGAGATCTTTGTTGAATGATTTCGAATCAAATTCGAATACAATGTACAACATATTTGTAGGCATATTTATAATGACCCTACTAACCTGCAAAATATTTCTTAAAAATTGAAATAAGGCGTCTATGCAAATGCCTTTTATTTTTCGTTCAAAAGAAGTCGTAATAACTTTGAGTATTTGGAGGATTTGAATTTCGGTAGGATGCAAGATATAACCTGCAAAATACGTAACGTTTAAAAATTTATTATACTTAGAATATAAGCTGGCATAACAAGCTTTCAGACTTGAAAAAATGATGAATCGATTTAAGGGTTATATGTTCATTTACCAGGGCCCTGCAACACTTTTTCAAGTAGCCACAGAATTGATTCACTAAAAAAGCTTATTGCCTCATAATCCACTGCCACAAAAAAAAATTTTTAGAATACGTTCAGTACGAGCAGAGTTGCAAAATTTCGTCGCACGCTTCAATTGCATTTTCTTTTGTCTTGTCCCAATGGAAGCACTGGAAGCTAAGCAGGGAGGAACGGCATGGCAGAAGAGAATAGTTACGCGTGCCTTGTGACCTTGAGCACTTTTTCTCTCTCTTTTTTTCTTCAAATAAGCAGATTTTTAGTGCGATCGCACACGTACGCGTGTGCGATCGCACACGTACGCACACGTACGGCCTCCCGCGGCGGCCCCAGTAACAATCGAGCGTGCCATGCTCAAGTGAGCCAATTCTAATACAACGGCTGTGATGAGTAATTTTTTAGCTTCATCCGTCATTTGTTGATAGAAAAGAAAGCAATTTTTAGCTGACTGAGAATTCACTGTCGATTCCAGGCCGTGTGCTGTGCTATAAGATTTGGCTCACGTGTTCTCGGTAGCCTCGACTACTGATTGGCAGCATTTTCTGACCAGGCTCAAGAAGTGTTGCAAGGCCCCTTTAAATTTGTAGTGGGGCTTCACACCAAAGCGAATTTTTTGGGGGGTAAGTGCTTTCACTGCTTAGCACTCTTACACACTGCAGTGAACAAACCTTTACGGGCAGTTACATGCAGATTAATGCACATCTATTTGTTTGAATATTTGAAGCATTCGAACATTCGCACAAGCCTAACTGTAATGCCTATGAAGGTGCTGTGGGTATTTTATAAATAAATAAATAAATAAATAAATAAATAAATGAAGGGCACAGTTGTGAACACTGGCATGCTATGTCTGCACATGTCAGCAAGCAGTTCATAGACATTTCTACGTTATGTGCTGTGCTCTCACTGTTTTACATTGAGACGTCAGATTGCTCAGAAAACGCTTCCCTTTCTGGAGCAGTTTTTTTTACACAAGCATTTTGTAAAGTTACGATGCCAGATCGCATTGAAAAGAGTTAACTTCTAGCCTTACTTTGTATAACATTACAATTCGTTGCCATCACATTCATTGGTTCTTCCTTGCAGCAAACCTGTGAATATACCTTTTTTATTTTCATTAGTGTTTCGAAGGGCCTATTTTGAACAACCACCACATACCTCGACTGTACACAAACCACATCTCACTGACTGTACACAAAGTAAAGTTTAGTTTCTGCACAGTTAAGATTTTCATTACATGGAGGAGATTTTTAAGAAAGAGCATGTGAGCTTGGTGGTTGAAGCACATGGTGTCATACACACAAAGCACATATTCACATACGAAGTCATAGTGAAGTGGGCTATGTCACAATACTGGCTTGGGAGCTTGTTTTTTCATTTTTTACATGGCAGACTGAAAAATGTTGGTTTTTCAAGGATGCTTAATTCATTATCCCATCAGTCATGCACCCATGCACAAGCTAGTGCAGAGCTATCATGCTTAACAGGTTTCAGTGCCTCTATGAATGCTTATGCTACATCTAAGCATGGCAGATCAGTTTTGCATAAGCTTGCAAGGTGATGGAACATATGTGAAAACGAAATATCAACCCAACTGCACTGAAGTGAATACCCTTATTGGTTTCTCAGAAAGAAAGTATTGTAGTTGAAAATTTCATTCTGCTCTGGGGATCAAAACCAAGACAAATGCTTTTGCAGGGGTGAACCTTTCACCATCTGAGCTAACATGGATGCCAGTAGATTGCAGTGCAAGGGTGATTTTATTCAGAGGTCAAAACACAAGGATGCTTGACTAGTAATGCATGAAAAATGTCATTTTCTATCAACATGTGAATCAAGCTGCCTACTTACTCAGAAAAATTTAGAAAAAGAAAAAAAAATATGCCCACAGTTCATTTAATAGTTCAAGTTCGATCAGGGCCTAACCCTTTAGGGCCTCCTTTTCTTTTTCCATAAAGAGCATCTGGCCAGCATATCATGTTGTGCTTTGAGCTATATAAGGTCGAAATGTTTAATACCTCAAATAAGCATCCCTCAAATGCTGAGGTCTAACACCTATATTTGGCTCAAATGGCATTATGCGCATAGTTTGCTACACATGTCATTCATCATATCAAGAGGGTTAAACTGAGGCTTACCTGGGTCTGGTTATTGATACATAATTAAAGTAGCTTCTGTTGAATGGTTATCGTATATAGTGGAGAGGGCAACAGTAAAGGATTGGCAGCCAAATAGCATGAGAATTTATTATTTTCCTTAAGCATGCTAGCTGAACATCATCGGATAGTGCATGTTGTGTACCAGCTAGTGTTTAAACACACAAAGTGTCACGAACCAAATGCTTCCTTTTTTAAAAATCTGCCACCATTATGGTGTGCATTGCTTCTGTGTGTCTATATTGAAAAGTAATATGTATTATGTAATTGACTGAATGTGCCAACATTTTCAGATACTGTCTTACTCGAAAAAAAAAAAAAAAACATGCTGCACGGTGCTATGTTAATTCCTGCTGTAGCTACAGGACAACTGGTAATAAAGACAGAATCATTTATGTTGTGCTATGCAGCACACATTTTAATGCGGCAAGACATTTTCATGTCGTGACTTGGTTATTGTTGCATATAGTGCATGAAGTTAGCATAGAAAAGACAAAATTTTTCTTATAAGACAGTGTTCATGGATCGAAATGATGATACAATTATGAAACAGTATTTTGGGGGCTGGCAAAATTATAGTTAGCCCGAGAATGCTTAAACCTGTGCTTTTAGGAAACAGCTAGAATATGTAGCACATTATTACCTTAGGTTTCATTACTTGTGAAGCGTGAGTAGTACGAGCTGTGGCAGTAAAGTACAGTAAAACCTCATTAATTTGAAGTCACTGAGGCAATGAGAAATTATCGAATTAAGTGGGTTTTTGAATTAACAGAACATACAAAAAGTGGGAAGCAAAGAACTTGCAATTATTCGATGTAAACAGGGCTGATCGTTTGCTGTGACAGCTAGTTTGCGGCTTCAAGGGTTATGTTTTCCCGCTATACCTAGTCTTACTTTTGCCGCAAACACGGAGGAATGGCAAGCTTCACTTCTGCCACCGAAAAAAAAAAGAAAAAGAGAAATGCCAGCATCTCTATGGAGTGGATGATGGTGAGAGGTGGGCAAAGCTCCGAAGATTTTTAGGTAATATTGTAAATCCTCGAAAACCTTGTCACTTCTTGCTCTTGCATTCCAGGGTGCGCTTCTCGTTTAGCCCATTTCGCAGCGGCTTTCTTGGCGCACGCTGTATTGAAATCCACTTCTCGCTGTGCACATTTCGCAGCGACGTCCGTGGCGAGCACCATCTCGGGATTCGCTCGCCGCTGCGCTCGCAATCCAACACATACAGCGACAGTCCAGGAAAATGAGAGATAACGGGCATGCTGTCAGAGCCCCGTGCAGCAGCCAATCGGAGAGCATCGGCACCGCCGGCAACGCCATATAGTGTCCATTTAACCAACCGCCATATTGCACACATCTCTATGGGACAGCGCCATCTAGAAAAGTAGACGAGAAATGGCGATGACATGGAGGAAGGAATAAACTCAGCAAAGGCCATTACGTCACATTTTGTAAAGCTCGAAGTAGGGAAGAGTACAGGACTCCTCCTCTCAATTGTGGGCACGCTACAGCGGCTCGCGCATGCGCAACAGGCGCCAGAGAGAGGGAGGCCCCGGCATGCTCGGCGCCTCCCTCTCGTTACCGCATGAGACACCGGCGTGCCCACCTTGTCCAACAACCCCCCGGCAAAAGCACGTGACTTCCGCCACACTTATCGCTCTGCAGCTCGCTTTTCGAGGCCCTCTCTTTAGCTTTCCTTCCTCCATGGCCGATGACTACACAGAATGTGTACACCCGCCATTTAAGTAGACTCCTTTTAAATGAAACCTGAAGGGACCGGGAAAATGGGTTTCATTTAAGGGGAGATTCGTTTACTGAGAGATGAACAGGGGTACAATATTCAAGTACAAAACCAATCATAGTAGAGGCTCTTGTTCCATTTAAGCAATAATTTCCTTTAAAAGAGTTTCGTTTAATGGGAGTCTACTGTAGTCTATCGTCACCGAACTGCTGTTTGCATCCATCTCTATAGGACAGCGCCGTCTATTCTGCGATAAGGAAGACGCTTTTGGGTACACCGGAGGAAGGGATTGCCCTAGACCATAAGGAGCTTCGTCCCTAAAAGAAAACGCTGTTGTGATCAGCTGAAATGCACGCCTGCAAAAAACAAGTCGTGCTTCAGTGCGAGACAGTAGTGACACGCGGGCAGCATATAGTGACATACGGGCAGTATGTTGCCTGCGCCTTGCTGCGTCAGCACGTCATGATGCAACCATTCTTTTTGGTAAAATAAAGAATTCAATAATGGATAGTGTGACAAAATTCGCGTTATGCTTTGGCTGCAAAACATGATCATTGAAGCTTTGAAACTTAGTTTTTGAATTAGGCGTTGCAGGCAAGAACTTCGCCTGTAGTGCAAGTGCGCGAATTGCTGGAGCAACTGGCAATCGGATGGAAGGATAGTTTTTTGGCACTGCGTAGCTGCACATGTGACTGCAAACCACTTTTTTATGATACCGTGATTGTTGGTAAAAACAGAAATGAAATGACAAGGGAGATTATCGATGCAGAGAGGATTTATGATCAGGGCTAAACTGCGTCAGCACTCTCTCTCTTGGGCTTTGTCAAAAAGAATTCTCGTTCTTGAAATTGTAGGTTGTTGCACACGGCAGTTGTGGGTTTCTAAACTGTTTTGTCTTTTTTTTTTCGCATGTCGTGAGGATATATATATGTACTCTCTTTGAAATAAATTTTGTTATAACTAAGCGCTCCCACTTGTCGCATTCCTTGTCCAGTGTCGCACATTTTTTACGCGCTACGTGTTTAGTTATGTATTACCAACACGCCCAACTTCATACTCTTGGCAATCGGACGTTCGCATACATTGCGAATTCTGCTGTACTTTCCTTTAAATTTCTTTACAATCCCAGAAAAAATGGGTAAACCATGAGGCGCTGTTGAGAGAGAAACATGCAATAGGCTGCCAACGCGTCACCACTTTGTTGCAGTGAAGCACATCTTTTCCACAGGTGCTCGTTTCGGTTGATCACATAACTATTTTTTTTTTCTATTTTGCACTGGAAGTAGCGAAGCTGGGATGCTTCAGCTGCCACTCATTAGTATCGCTACGTTGCATTGCCTTGTGGCTCTTAAGGGCCGTCATTTCTGCGGAGTTGTGGTGAAATCAGGATTAGTAAGTAGCACATGGCACCCAAAGTTTTAGAATTAACCGGGCTATTGTTGACCGCCACTTCAAATTATTCACGCAGACTTACAATGTGAAATACAGGACCGTGGAAATATTTTGAATTAAGCAGAATTTGAAAATAACCAAGTTCGAATTAATGAGATGTTACTGTATGTGTGTTCATGTAACTGCAGGCTCTGAAGTAGACAGTTCTCTGATGGCTCGACTTGCGAGAATTCGTGGGGAGCCTCCAGCCAAGAGCGCTTCCTCTGAGAGTGAGCAAGAGGAGAGTGAAGATGAAGATAGCGAGGAAGAAGATGAGGAGGAGGACCACTTCCAAACCAACAAGTTTGCAGCCTTGGCTAACGATGTAGAGTAGGTGCTAGCACCATTCGAATGCAGGAATAAAATTATTTTGGGAATTTATGCAAATGCTTTTTGTCTGTCAATTCACACAAATGCTTCCCAGCCTAATCATTGGGATGGATTCGCGCCGAAGCTCATCAACAGTTGTTCACCCCTGGTCGACTGTGTGATGATAAGCTACATCAAGCAAATAAGAACATTTGTGCACTAAATGACTTGTACCCCCACCACACTGGCAAGTTTGGCATCATTCTGAGCAAGTGCACTTTTAAGCTAGTGTAATTCGCGTGCTGTCACATAGGAGTGCTCAGTGACATTCATTGTAAAAGGCACTTGCCATCAAGTATGTTCACCAAGCTCACTCAGATGTGTTTTGCCTCAGCAGCATTGGCTAAAAAATAAATTAATGTAAAAAGCTGGGTCAGTAGTATTTTTAAACCATCATTTACATTATTAGAAACATGGTTATGATTAGTTTAAACATATCATACTACAAAAAACTAATTTACCATTCCTGCTCTCAGGCACTATACAACCAGGTGTGGGCATCAGCAGGATTTTGATTTTGTTAGGGGTGCAAAGTCATGTTTGCCACGTTCCATTTCCCAAGTTTTTGTTATCGTCCCAAAACACCACACGATTCTCAGCGCAAACCGCGCCTGCAGTTTTCGAGAAGGTTCCGGACTGTAGAAGATCATTTCGATAAGATCGCACCCACTGTGCGAACAGTACAGATTGTTCTGGAATCTACGCCACCGCCAGCGATAACGCTAGAACATTCGACGGCAAGAGTATAAATGCCGACGCACTTCGCCGCTTGTCAGTTGTTGATCGAAGGCCGACGCTCCGTTCGCCGCTATCAATCCGAGACTGCTATCTGTGCGAGACTGCTGCTGTAATTGGACTTTCCGTTTACCGGGCACAGGTTCGCCCAAATAAACAGTTAAATCCCAACACGAAGTCTCCTGTCTTCGGCCACGTCACGACCCCGTGACAACATGATGCTGTGCATCATGTTGGAGTTTGAGGGAGCACTTGCTCGGTATGAATTAGGGGGGGGGGGGGGGGTGCAGTGCTGTAAAGTACTTGTGTGGCTTGACGGGGGGCAAGTGCCCCTTTTGCAAGTGCCCCCCTGTTGACACCCATGCAATCATGGCTGCCAGGTACAGCCACCATATGCTGATAATGATGTTATCTGTTTTTTTTAATGTCCCAAAACCACTATATGATTATGAGAGACGCCGTAGTGGAGGGCTCCAAAAATTTTGACCCCCTGGGGTTTTTTAATGTGCACCCAAATCTGAGCACACGGGCCTACAGCATATTCGCCTTCATTGAAAACGCAGCCGCAACAGCCGGGATTCAATCCTGCGACCTGCGAGTCGGCAGCCGAGTACCTTAGCCACTAGATCACCGCAGCGGGGCCACCACACATGCTGTGCAATGGCTGCGTTGCGTTCCACTGCATTTGTACCTGAAATTTATTTGAAGGGCTCTTCTTAACGAGAACACATAATTGTTAAATTCGAAGCATTTTTTTTGCGTACTGTAAGCACTTTTGACGTATATCTACGTATCTATCTATCTGTCTATCTATCTAGCCACTTACGACTGGGTGCTTTTGTGATCACCCCCTTAACTTGGCATCAACCAAATTAGTAAGGGAGGGAAAAATTGTTTGACGAATATGATGTGCTAATCAGGACTTGAATAATGTCTCAATCCCATCGCGTACTTTGTCAAACACTTCCTGCTAAACAGTGGCACATACCTGCAGGCAGGTGTGTGCTACTGGTATGTGGCTGAGTCACAGGTGATTAAAACTTGGCGTCTACCCAGAAATGGTGAGAACACGTATGGGTAGTTTTAACACATTAGAGTTAAGAAACAGCTGACATCGGCAGCGTTGACCCAGCGAACGCAAACAATAAATATCATGGTCTCAGCAGAAATCAAATCCCAGTATTCTGCATGGCAATCAAGCATTTTACCACAGAGCCATGCTAGGTCTCGAAACTACCTTTCAAATAGACCGTAATGTTTGTGAAACGTCAATTGTAGTTGCACCGCTCGCTATCCAATGTTGTAAACATTACATATAGTATACTCCTATCATACAGCCGTCACGTCGAGCTACCTCGATTGTAAAGTGACATTCACTGAAGTTTATTCATGTAGCAATGTCCAGTGCTACCATCTTCGCGAGCGCCAGCGCTTCATATTGTTACACAGTATCGGCAACGAGAGAGCATCAGGTAGATGATGAAGACAACGAATGCGATCGCACTCGTGTTGTTGTTGTTCCGTCATCTTGGCTTCAGCTGCCTCTGACTCTCCCTGTATATTTTGTAAATATACTTCTTCCATTCATGCTCTCACCCCCATGAAATTTGGTGGTGGTGCAGGGTACAACACGATATGACGGAGCTGCACAGCGGCCGACAATTGAATTTTTCCACCATGGCATACCAGAGGCCCGCTTCCGCCGAGGTGACCACAACTACTGTTGTCCTTCCCCAGGTAAAAGATCCTGGCACGTTCTGTGGGGCTGATAATGTCGACATTGAAGAATGGTTGCCGTTGTACAAACGTACTAGTAAGAATTACCGCTGCGATGAAAATCTTATGTTGGCCAACATACTGTTATACTTGCAAGGCACTGCAAAAGTGTGGGCCAAGAACCACGAAAAAGAAATTGTAAGCTCGGATAGGTGCAAGAAAAAGATGCGTGTCCTTTTCGGCAAGTTTGCGGATAGAAAGGCAGCGGCCAAGAAGGAGTTGGCATCTTGTGCGCAAAACCTCAGCAGTCTTACACGACTTACAAACAAGACGTGCTCGCCCTTTGCTGAAAAGCAGGCAGTGGCATGGAATAAACTGAGAAAGTAGCTCACATATTTAAAGGCATAGCAGATTATGCGTTCTCACATGCGAGGACTGCAACAGAGTAGATGCCATCATCAAGAAGTGCCAGCATTTTGAGGCTACAAAAAGTTGACGTATCGCCCACCATTTCACTCAATTTCCCAACATAGCAGCACATGGTCGTGCAAAGACGGGCCTGCACTACAGGCACAGCTAACTGCAGAGCACGTGACCAAGATCATCAGACGTGAACTTGAAGCTCTGTCTCCTGCGTGCATGTGCTGCTGTGCCTGTGATTCTAGCCCTCAGATGGTGCCACTGGCACATGCCATTGTGCGACAAGAGCTTTCCCATTCTGGACTGGCCTCCGAGGGCCCTACAACTCCCTCTCAGTTGATCGACCGTCATCAACCCCTGTTTCGTATGCCCAAAGTTAAATCCTTCCTGTATGCCCTCGCAATCCAGCCGAGTGAAGGACTGCTGAAGATCATCCGATTTGCTTCAACTGCCGCTGTATCGGACATGTGGCCCATCATTGCAACACCCAGTGGTATTAGCATCAGGCATCTTATGGGTACAACCATCGCCTAGTGAGAGATCATAAACGTTTTTACCGGGAATCACCTCAGGCGACCAGTAAAGACGTTCCTTCCATGCCGCTGTATCGTCATCGTTCACTATTTCCGCATGCTCACCAGTCCCGTTCACTGCTCTCCCATCACCCGTCGTCTCGCTCACCCCAATTTCGCCGTCCTTCGTCACCCACTGAACACCTGCTGCAAGAAAACTAGATCATGCAGCTCCCGAATGTGATGCTGCATCAACCTGCCAAATTCTCTGACCATGCTGCCGGCTAGACGCAATCTTATTGAGGTCAAAGTAGATGACACACCAGTTGTTGCATTTGTGAATACATGGGCTCACGTATCAGTCATGACTTTGGAACTTCATTGCCGCCTTAGGAAAGTTTTATAGTCACCCACAATACTATTCATTGAGGTCGTCGATGATGCCATGTTTCCCGTGCTTTGATTGTGCTCCGCACGTATAAGTGTTGCTGATCGCTCCATGATTGCTTCACTGTGCTCGAGAAATGCTCCCAAAAACTTATCCTCAGCATTGACTTTTTATCCGCCCACTAATTTATTGTGGAACCAGCATGCTTCAACTTGATTTATCACATTACCATGACGACCCAACACCAGCTCAACCACGTCTATATTTTGTAGATCATGTTCACCTAGCACTTCAAGAGGTTACCTACGTCAACCTGTGGCCTGTCCCTCATATTCCCGATGGTGCTTACATGTGAACACTATTACTGATGTCTTGCTGACCAAGAATGTTGCCGGGACTCACACAGTTTTGACAGTCATGGGAAATGCAGCATCTCTTCCAATCCTACACTTCACCTGGTGCGCTCAAGTTATCCCAGATGACATGACTTTGACAAAAGTCTCTTCTATGGATGCTGCCATTTCGGCGTTTGTTGCCAATGCTTCTTCATACTCTGCTCCATTCTCCTCCTAGCAGAGCGCAGTGGATGCCAACGTCAACAAGATGATCGCCCCTGACCTCCTTCTAGCACAGACAGCTGATATCCGGTGCCTCCTGAAATCCAACCGTGACATCTTTAATTTTGATTTTTAGAATGTTGATTTTGGCATTCTGATTTTGGCCCTCTGGGTCAGACATCCTTCGTAACTCATAAGATCAACACTGGAGATGTGTGCTGGGCGACAAGTTATCCAGCACGAAGTTAGAAAAATGCTCACAAAAGACGTCATCGAACCATCCTGCAGTCCATGGGCATTACCGGTTGTGCTAGACAAGAAGGACGGCAGCTGGCGCTTCTGCATAGACAGCCGTCACTTAAACAAAGTAACACATAAGGACGCGTATCCAGTGCCACGGGTTGGTGATGCTCTCGACTGCCTACATGGGTCTGCCTACTTCTCATCTATCAACTTACGATCAAGATACTGGCAGATTTCTGTCGATCATCGAGACCGTGAGAAAACCGCATTCATTACATCGGATGGACTTTTCCAGTTCAAGGTTATGCCATTCAGCTTGTGTAATGCCCCATCTACATTTGAAACGATGATGAACTCCCTCCCGCGTGGATACAAATGGTCCTTATGCCTGTGCTATCTTGATGATGTCATCGTATTTTCACCCACATCTGAAACCCACTTT